GGGTTAGTGCCCAGCCTTTAACCTTGCCTTTCTCTCCCCCAACACAAAACCCTGCTTGTCACAGCTCCTTCCGACCCCACTGATTTCACTTGTAGACTTGCCCTTCCCCCCTTCCTTCACTGCTCTCACACAGCTGTGTATATTTGTATATTTCCAACACCAGTCTGCTTTTACCGGTTCTCACTGTCTCTTCACTTGTGGATTTCTTATATTTTTCCTTCTATCCTGAAGATGGAGGCGATACGTTCCTCCGAAACGTCGGTTAACACCACATATACACGGTGCCAAATCCCAGAAGACTGCTTTCTTCAAATATAAGAATGACAAAAGGTTCAAAAATATACTGTAATGAGTTGCAATACTGTACAAATTGCTTAATTTAATGTTCTTGGAATTATATAGAATTTTCTGTTATTCCTAGATTTGTTCGAACATTTGCTAAATACACTTGTTCTGACAGAGATTGTGTCTGGTTTATTTTACCTCTAATCATCCATTAGATTTGTTGGAATGTGTAGGTAGTGTGGAAGTAGTTTAACAAATTTTGGATAATTCAAAATATGTACAACTGTGTGGGATGTGTGAACTTTTATTTAAAATGGTATCAGTTTTCTTGGAAAGTGTTCATTTTTTGAGAAGTATGCAATGGCCACATTTTTGGAAAAAATTAACATTTCTTGTGTCACTATCTGCAGGACAGAAAATGTTCAGTATGGTGAGGTCTGGCCTCACTGAAGAGCTCATATAGCTCACCTGGTTCAGTATCCCATATCACAAAAAGGTGTTTAATGTAGGGAATTCACTATGTCAATGACTGCACCCACTGGCTTTGATTTTTCACAGTGGGAAATCATATTTTTGACATTCTGTAGTGACAGGGAAATTTTGTTGGCCTAATTTAAGGCTCCAGTATGTGTGAAAACATTACAGAAGTCCACCATTTGTGAAAATTATTACAGGATGTTTTGGAAAAATGTATCACCTGTGGAAAAGAAATTAATATTATTGTCATACGTTTATAATCGTGTGCCAAAGGTTTGTATTTTATTCTTATTCATTAATTCTTGTATCATCTTGTATCACCCTAGAGGAATATACACATGATCATGCATTTAGCCCTTCATAGTCATAACAGAACACTGATAACGAATCCAAAGCAATAAACAAGAAAAATACATTAATTAAATTCTTTTAAAATGGTGATCAGTTTTGCTACATTAATTCTGACAGTGAGTGGAGGAAAAACTTCTATATAATACCTCATTCAACCATGGATCACTTATTAATTACTCAGTACATCACTCTGTAGTTGCAGTATTCCCAATATACCTCAATTTTCTTTCCTATTGAGATTTTTTAAAGATTAAGAAAATATGTGCTACAAAACTTCAAATATTTTAACTGGTTTGAATAAACATATGATAAAGGCAATTTGTAAACAGTATCAACATAGTTATGCTTTCAAGCAACATGTGAATTCAGTCTTAGCATGAAACTAATAAAATACATTTTGGGTTGAATTTCTGTAAGATATGATTATCTTCATAATCAAATAATAAGAAAATGGATTACAAAAGTACAAAATGTAGCAGTATATACTTACATCCCACTTCACAGATAATAATTAATTTATAACTCTGAAGAGCACATATAGAACCAATAATATTTTAAATCAAGAAAATTGTTGTATGATGGGAAAAATATTGGTCTCTCACATATAGTTCAACTATAGTAATTGTGAAACAAACATATATTTTTAAAGCTATGACTACATTTAACTAACAGTAAGTTTCTACCTACTGCATAAGCTTGACCATTAGCACTGTGAATGATGAACATGTTCATTTTTATCATGTGTTTCTAGCAAAAAGGCACACTGCTTCTGCTGCTTTGTCTACAAAATAATTCAGAGAAAATTCTGGCATTTATTAAGGTAAAATCTACAGCTGTGTATAGGTTCTAAAGTCTATTTACTATCATCATTATCAAGCACAATTTATTTTTATCTTTTTATGAAACTAGACATAAACTTAAACTCCATGGCCTATAGTCAGCAAGCGAACTATACCAACCGAGAGATCGCCGCTTGTCAGCAAAGTTTAGTGCCATTCTACTCGACTCCATGAAACACATTGCATCGCGTTAAAGTGTTAGCCGCTCAATTAAAGCAAACAAAACAAACTTCACGGCTTTAGTCCGCACGCAAACTATACCGACCGAGCGACCGCCGCTTGTCGACGAAGTTAGTGCCATCTTTTGCAGATAGAGGGTGTTGCATGGTCAGTGCAACAAATCCCCACGACCGTTAATTTTTGTTTTCTAGACTGAAGCTGCTATTTCCTTGAAACAGCTCCTCAATTATTCTCATGAGGCTGAGTGGACCCCATTCCAGACCCACTACTTCTCAGAAGATGTGGTAGTGCCGGGAATCGAACCCGGGCCTCTGGATCTGTAGGCAGACTAGACTACAGAGGCAGTCTGAAACTAGACATGTCTACAAATTGAAATGTGGGTTATGTCAAAGGCATGGATTAAGCCAGTGGAATTAAAATACATGGGTAGCAAATATCAGGGAAAAAAGAAATATACTAATATTTGCAAACCAATTGATATACATATATATTATAACAAGTTTAGTAAAATTAATCTGAAACTTTCATTGCATGCTGCTGTATAGTAACAGTAAAGCTATATCCTATCTACTTTCCTTTACTGTCTTTGTTTCTTCATCCATTGCTACATGTACTTAGGCCTACACATCAAGATATCACTGACACAGGATAACATAATGCTCTCAGTCTGTCTAAAAAATAATCTGTCCCATGTTAAATAAAAGCTACATGAATCTCTGTAGTCATAATTAGTGCATATTTATCATATTTCTTACATTCTTATTTCAGGAAATATGAGACATAATGTCACAATGGTATTCAAGCTAGTCAGTAACCAACTGCTTATAATAAACCAATGTACATGTTAGAAGACTAGATAAGTGGAGCCCATTCCAAGACACAAGCATATTATGTAAGAATTAACATGTGTACAGAGCCTTTAGCTGTCACATTTTTATGTAAGTTAACTATTATTTTGGAAATAATCTATCTGTGTAGTTTCTAAGCTGTCTACATTTAAAAAATGGCCTCCTTATGAGACAGTCAATTTATTTATTATACAAAATTTTGTAATTTATCCCCGTCATTTGTACCTGCATCATATGTATTACTGTTGCACTAGTAAAAGGCAGCAAGGAATAATTTTGAGCCAAAGATGTTATGTACTATATAGCTGGTCTAAATATATCTTTCTCAATATATGCTAAACACTTCATGAAAATATGGCATTTATAATTCCCAAGACATGGCCTATAATATTGGATATATAACAGGTTAGCTGAATTAATTAAAAGTAGCTGGAAAATAGATGTCACGCAGAGAGTAACATCAGATGACTCAATGCCCTCACTCGGATGTCATTAATTTCTTTCCACCTTACTAACAATACAGTAAATACTCCTCATTCTTGACTCCATCATCTGCAAAATTTGCAAGTTCCTGACATATCAAATGTACATTTTATATTTGCAGCCTCCTTGGCCTAGGAAATACAAAAGTTTGCCATCATAGTAGACAGAGGTATGGAATGTGATCCTGTAGTGGGAAGAAGCCCCAGCCAAAAGGGGAAGTTTAAGGTTACATTCTATCACTACTTGAAATTCAGAAGAAACTGCAGAAAACAGCAAAACAAGTGACAACTACCAAGGTTTCAGGCCAAACCAGCTGCAGTCACTCTCATTAAACGGTTCAGACTGTCTTCACTACTACTACAGTATTATAGTATCGTTATTACTATATATATATATATATATGTACACAGTTCATTATTACTTACAGTTCTTTTGTCTGTTTTTGTGTATTTATGATTTCATTCCTATTTTTTCTCATGCCATAAACATAATGCCTGATTTTCAGTGAATTATGGTCTCTATCTGTGAATTACATAAATTTCAGTGGGTTACAAGAACTTATCCCTCAGAAATGTGGAGGGTTTACTGTACTTTATAGTCATAACAGTAATCCTTTGGTTCAAAAATTTTGTTTCAGGTGACCTAAATGCTATTTTTAGTGACTGTTCTGAGCCACTGAAATAGTTCAGATAATAATATGGAAACATGTTTCATCGAGTCTGCCATAACTGATGTCAAGAGATATCATGTTTCTCTTGTGCTCAATACTATACAAACTAGTCTCAACCCTGGATATGATCTTGGAACACTGACAATAAGTAACAAATATATAGTGCAAAATACTTACTTCTGAGGTCCTGACCTACACAAATTCGGCTAGAATAATGCACTTGCAGAAGCCCACCATAGTGCATCTTAATGTCACAAGAATTTTGTAGTGCAGAATATAAGTGTTTGGTAATCAAGTGATGAACATAATTCACAGAAATTCTACATAGCGCTATGTGATGCTTGGTGCACCCACTTAAGCAGAGCCGCATTCTCGCAGTTCTCGGTTTCCAAGAGGCAGAGGTGGACGGTAGTTGTTGATTATGAGTCCCTCAAGTTCATCACAAGGACACGCTTCCCCAGGCTTGTAGCACCGCAGACTGCGAAATGCTGCCAGCTATAAAAAAGAAGTGACAAGATTTCAAAAAAAGTTAGTGTTATCATATGAAGTATAATCCAGGTATGAACTCAACTAAACTTCGTGGTGCAGTGCCTTCTTCGTGATATTAATTCCATATTTATAGAGAAGCAAATATTCATTACTGAGTTCACTGGACACTAACATTCTCCTCCTCACACTGTCACAGGGCCTTAAGGTTTCCCAACAGTGTTCTACATAAATTTCCCATTTTCCATATAATTACATTCTTTCTGTTCTTAGAATAAAATCTGAACTGGGTGGTAGCATTTCTCAGGAGGTAAGAAACTGTGACGAGGATAAGAAGCATTTGCATAATTTGATCATGAATATTATTCTGAATTATTCTTACTCCCAAGCACTTGACATTTAACACATTTTAAAATAATTTAGTAGATATCCTTATAACATGATTCTGTCATATATTCTGGTGATTAGACATGAATATATTTGTCATATTTATTTCTAGATTTACTAAATTCTGTTATGCTGCCTGTGTTCTTCTTTATGGCATTTACATTTTCACTACAATCAACACTGTTAGCAAAGACTCATGCTAGACCAATGATGAGTTTCCAATAAGGTCATACAGTACCTGCCAAAGAACTATTAACCTGGGAAGGAGAAGTACAAATTCGTGAACTGGCAGACAGCAGAAGCAGCTCAACCTTGAGTTTCCTCAAGTTTGTCATCTAGATCTCATGTTCTCTATCCCCTAGTCTTTCTTTCTGGTTAGCAGAAGACTGTACAAGGTACATAATACAAAACTATGTCCAATGTTCTTTCATCTCTAGGCAACCATGTATGACTTAGAGCATAAAGATGGACACATCACAATGCAATTCTCATAGAAAAGATGGGTGATGTTACATTCTTTCATTTCTAAGAAATGATGAAATGATGAGTAAAAATAAACCAGTTTGTTCCTAAACATTCGTTTATTAACTTAGATGATAAAATTCCCTGTCACTATTTAAATTGTTCACTAAGTTTATTAAAGATCTGTTACAAAAGAAATAAGCAACTTCATTAATTTAGTATGTAATTTTACCCCATTTCTGCGATATTTGGCTGAATTTTAACAAGCATCCATTACCATATATTGTAACATTCAATTTCAGTCCACATCAAGAAAAAATTATATACTTTTGCTGTGTCATTTGACTTGTTTCACTGTGCTATAAAAATGCATTTTTTTTTTCATGTGTTCACCTTAAAATTTTATTATTTTAAGAAAACGGTGAGAGAGAAGAAAGCAGCAAAAGGACTTAAGAACGCCTGGGCAAGAAATTGGTTGGTTGACAAGTATGGCCTCGCTGTTCATACAAAACTGTACCGGGATTATATGATCTGTATCTGGGATATGGAAATTCCAAGCTGTTCAGAAATTTCAGTATAATCAGACAAATGGACATTTCAAATCTGTTATGTAACCTGTCCTCCAGGGCTTCACTGTGACATAACACAGTGTCAGTACAACATCAGCTACATACCTGGTCTTCAGAAACTTCAATGGCTTCTTTGAAGAGGATCCAAGTAACACACTCAGAGCAGGGAGGTGTGGTTAGAGAGCCAAGGTACGTCCAATAGGACAATGTCTCTGCAAAATAAAACAAGCATGCGTTTATGGCAATTGATGTTCAGGTCACTCTGTGTGCTACGCACAACACCTGAGATCATAAAAAATAATGACAGTGAAACAAATGAGACAACAGCCATTGCTAGGCAGCAAACTTTGCGCAACAATGGAAGCACTGTTGGGAGCAGTGTTTTCTATGTGGTCCTCTCCAAGGCTATATCACATGACCAACCTAGTTAGTTCGGTTCAGCTGAGTGAAGTAAAGTGAAGTGAAGTATGTAGTTGGTTGGTGAGTTAGTGCAGTCAGTTGAGTTTAATGAAGTGAAGCAGTTGGTTGATCAGTCCTTATGAGCCGTTGCTATTAGAAGCTGGTAGCTGAGGCATGACGATAGCTCAGGGACCCAGAGTAAGCAGAACGTCTGCTGTTGAAAGCCGTTACCAGACAATGACTGGTGGAGACACAGCAGACTGAAAAGACTTAATGTGTGCTGCAGTGAATTGTGGAGCATGTGAATTAGTGATAGCGCTACAGTTACTTGTAGTTACAATCTGTAAGTGGTCAATAAACCAAATTACCAATCCAAACCCTGTCCACACTCACCCATACACATGACAATACAATACTGTGACATGTAGAACCATTGCTAGGGAAGCACGTTCCGTGAAGATGGATTCTTCGAAACCAGCCTGTCAGTGTGTGATAAGCAGACATGTCCATGGACGCAGGGTATAGGTGATAAACAGACGTTTCCTTGGATATGGAAATGAAACGTATTTTCTGTCGGTCCGACCTGACACTATATAACCAGACCCCAGGTGGCCAGATGAGTAGAAGACAGGGCAAAATAGAGGGGCCAGAATGGAGCAATTCATAGTGCAGTCACAATGTAGCAAGTCCTAGGCAGTCATTTATTGTGATTACGAATGATTGTAAAGGAGTGATCAATAAATCCAATCCAAACCCCGTCTTATTAGTCACGCCCATAAGTCGTGACTATATATATATATATGTATGTATCATAAGATGATCCATACTGATCAGGTGACTTAACATACATACATATTCTATTGTAATATTATGTCATGTGTCCATAAATTATTCATCTGTGTCAGAGACCTCTCTAATAAGAACGCTATTCAAGGTAAAAGTACGGCTGTCCCTGTAACAGGCTGTAAAGGCCCATACGGGTGCGAGAGGTCGAGGCTCCCACCTCTTCTAGACAGTTGGCCAATAGATGGCCGTAAGGTTCTCAGCCTTATGTGCTGGCCGCCCTTTTACCCCCCAGGAAAATTCCTGGTACTCATTTCTGTTAGAGGCTGGGTCGACCCCAGGGCTATAGTTTGGCTGGAAGGATTAGGTCAATTGAAAAGTCCAATGATCTCATCGGGATTTGATCCCACAACCTTCCAACTTGTAGCGTAGTGCCTCAACCAATTATGCTACTGGGTGCCCCCTACACTACGTGTATATAAGACAGTGACAAAAAAAAATTGGCTTTATCTGACAGAACATTTACATTTTTATTTATATAGATTGAGATTTCATAAACAAATATGAAAGAAGTTTGTACAAATAATCCTCATAATGAAATAAAGGTAAATATTAGTGAAAATTCTGTGTCACTGAAAGAGAATACAATTTTCTATTCTTGTTAGGAAGAGAACTGAGTAAGATCGAAATTTGTTCACCTGTCACTTACCTGGGAGCAGACTGGCTGGATCAATTGGTTCCTTCACTGCTATCTTTTGTCCACGGTGATAGATGCTTGGAATAAGTTCAACTATCTTCTGAAGCTCTGGATTCTCTTTTCCAACCTAAAATTTCACAAATAAGTGAAACTCAATTCTCGAGCTCAAAAAGGATGACATAAATGGATTCACGAGACCAGTCTGTACAATGGGAAGACGGTTCTATTCAACAGCAAGCATTTTCGCCTCAGTTTAATTACCAATGGTCGTTTCATGCTCTGACAGATATGAATGCCTAAAATTCCATCCATGAGTACAGTTTACACGTGAATACATTCCATACTGCTGTAGTTATGAAGTCCTTGTGTCTACCAAATATGAGAACAATCACAAAATTATTCAAGAACACAAACATAAATATAGAATTCAAAACTACTAATATAATACAAAAAACACCAAAAACCAAGAGAGAAAACAACAGACACATACACTGTTAGTTCCTCGGAATTCCAGCCGTGGTAGGGGCGTCATACCGTCTATCGCGGGGCTGAAGCAGTCTTATCAGCTTACGTCCGCGTGGGTACTACCAGTTTGGAATGTAGCGTCTTGGAGTGTGGTCAGGTGTATAGTACTACTCCTGGTCTCAGTAGGCAATGTTTTCCGCTCGGGGAGTAACTCTGAACGTCACCACAGCAAGCGTATTTCACAGCTTCGCGTGTTTCACAACAGCGTTTACCTTTCCGCGCGGCTAAAGTTACGAGACACTAACTATAATCACAGTAGAGTTTAGCAACTAAAATATAGGGAATATCCATTAAACTATTCAGAAAAACGGGATATGTTTTTAAAGTCCAACATAAGGAACATATCCAAGCCAAAAGAACAATAAACAAAACACAAAATACAACCAACACAAACTCGAAACAGGACACATATACAGTACAACTGACGAGGCATCAGAAATACTGCACATTGAAAAAAAGGCCAATTACCAAACACACTGGAACGCTTTTACATACACAGTCCATGCAAACAAAATCTGCAAATGAACGATACCTTCACGTGCTTACCCTATGTTACATCTAGTGATAAAACATACCCACCACAATAATACGTATACAAACAAAACATCTCTCCAGTACACGTCCACCTCCACCCCCTATCAAACATAACCAACTTTCGCCCTCTTGAACAAGTGACCCAAACAAAATACCCACTATGACACTAAAACATCAGTTAGTCCTAACAGAATCACGTATTATGATCAGACCGTAACTTAATTTAGTGCCTTGGGAAGTGTACATATCTTTTGGAAACAAGAAAATTACCAGCTATGTAAATCAAATTCCAGCTTAATATTACTGCCATTGTTTTTCTTTAGTTTCAGAGACTTGGCTTATCAAGAGAATGAGTGGCAAACTGGAGGCAATTTGTTAATCAGAGAAGAGAAATGAAGTGGTCATAACCTATTTTATCCCTGTTACTGTCAGCCTCCAAGGACCTAACCAACTAAAATTCCAACATACAGAGAAAAGAAAACATGTGTGGGAGCCTTCTATAATGAAGAGAGCGCTACCCAATCCACCACGGGAGCTCCGACGCCAATTGTTTAGCGCGCCTCCTAGCGGCAAAAGTATAAAGATGCGGACGTCCGACGGGATCGACACCAAGATAGACAGACCGACTGACCGTCAGTCGCAATGTGACTTTGACTTTGACTTCTGGGTAGCATCAAATATCCCATTTGTAAACAGTGCAAAATATCTCGGTTTAGTCTTCGATAAGAAAGTTATAAGGAGATTACACATAGAAATGATCGAAGCCAAGGCCTTCAGAACATTCATTAGCGTATATTCCCTATCCAAAAGTGAGCGTTTAAGCGCTAACATTAAGCTGACCCTCCACAAAGCTCTCATTAGATCTGTATTGACTTATGCTAGACCTGCCTGGGAATTTGCGGCAGACACCCATCTAGTGAAATTGCAGCGCCTGCAAAACAAGGTTCTCCGCACCACTGGCAATTTTCCGAGGCGCACACCGGTCCGCGATTTGCATATGGCATTCCAAATCCCGTACGTATATGACTTACTTACTTACTTACTTACTTACT